GTAGCAATGGTATCGGTCGTCTGTCAGTTAAGCCGTGATGTGATTGGTAGGAAGACTCGTAATCAGTAATTGGAGCGTTTCGATCCGTCTGTTGTCACAGTCAAACAGTCGTCTATTGTTAGTCAAATTTTCAGTTATCCAGTCGTTCTCTCGTAGTTAGTTTTGCTTGATCTCGTCAATAAGTCGTTTGTGGGTAACTGTTGGCTACGATTCAGTGGCGTTTGTTCTAAGTTAGTAAACCAACTTTCTAAAGTAAGACGTTGATAGTAGTCTGTAGAATACATTATACATGTCGCAGAGTCCCAGTAAACTGTAAGGTTATCAACTCGATGTAAGATTTGGTTCACTCTCGGACTGTTTGCAAATCACTTTTCTCTAAAATCACTTAGCCTTTCCCTTAAAAGTCACATGAATGAACTCTAAAGTTAAGTGATTTGTGGAATACAAGTTTATTCTTTCATTTTAATGATAAATTTATTGATGGGAGCGTCGCTTTTAGTCTTGGCTAAAACTATATATTAACAATAATGCCAATTAATTAGCTAAGCAGAGTAGTGTTGCACAGGGCTCTGACAATAAGCTTGGGCTACCTGTGCTGTGGCAAGTACCAGCGACGGCAAAGAGAAGCGTGAATGGAGGGTGCACATTGTTAGCAGCTCTTTTCAGCACCACTGAATCCAGTTTTATTTGTCTTTCTTACAGTTTTTCGAAGAGGAAACAAATGGAGAAGAAAACCATATGCTCTTTGTTTGTGCTCATTGGTATCATGATGCTTCAGTTACAGTGGAAAAGCGAACCGCAAATAAAAAGAAATCTACATGCACAGGTAGCGTGTGAATAAGACTGAACGAATGCTTATTAGGACACATGCTAATGGTGCACATCAGTTTTCAATCTGCAAATGAAAGTTTAGCCAAACGAGCAAAACTAGTGATGAAAGAGGCTGATTTTGTGCAAAAGTGGCCTTTGTGAGCATTGGGCAAAAGAGAGATCACTATTTACATTTAACAGAATCTGATGTAATGAAAATTATTAACAATTATTGAGGTTGGGTACGACATGAATAATTAGGCAGATCGAATATATGAATAATAAGGCAGGAGTTTGTAGGTGGATTACATTGCCCACCGTCTAAGATCTGCATAGCTTCTCTAACCACTCAAAAGCTGTAGTTTAATAATTATTTATTATTCGTTTAAAATAATCACAAGTTCCAAAC